TAATCTTGCTGCTGTTATTAAATTCAACATTAAGATAGTTTCTTTAGCATCAAAATCCATAAAAATACCCAAAAGAAACAACTGGGGAGTGTCAGCTTGATAGTTGAATCACAGACAATTGAGAATTATTTCAGAAGCCATAACAAAACAGAACCTGGCTTAATATGATATATGAATCCAACTAAATGCATTTATTTTCCAAGCACTAGATATCCAGGATGGGGATAAAACTGATGCATGCAAAGAAAAGAGGATTAATACCACTAATGGATTTGGTAATTCCCTTCCCTATTCCTTACAACCTGGATCAAAGAACCCTGGTTCAGATATTACCTATTGTTCTCATCTAGCCAAGAAGTCTCTACTCGAATTATCTGCAATTGTCTAAGATTTCAGTCAGAATTGAATTAGAATAGAGCTGGAAGGCATCTTGGAGTTCTTCTAGTAGTCCAACCACTTTCTCCTCGCAGGAGACCCTATACCATTTCAGATAAGTGGCTGTCCAGTGTCTTCTTAAAAAATGATGGAGCACCCGCAACTTCTGAAGGCAACCTGTCCCGCTGTTAATTGTTCTCACTGTTAAGAAGTTTCTTCTTAATTCCAGATTGTTTCTCCCCTTGATTAGTTTCCATCCATTGTTTCTTGCCTTACTTTTTGTTGCTTTAGAAAATAAGTTGACCCTCCACGTTGCTTATTGCTTTCTGGAGAAGAGTCCAGAACTGAATCAAGGTCCAAAACATGGGCTTTGTCATTGAACTTTATTCTTGTTCCCACTGCAGTTAATTCAAGGAAGGAAAATTAACTAGCAACTTTCCATCCAAAGCTTCAAAACAGTTTTCATTAGGAGCCAAGCAAGAAGTCCATAGTCCCCACCATGTGGAATTGCCAAGACCAAAATGATCAGTTCTAATTAATCACAATATTCTGGAATCTTAGAACAATCCTTTAAAGAGATGTTCCAGGGATTAAATACATTTGTATGCAAAGCATGCACTAGCAGTGAACTCTCCTTTCCTAGGAATGCATAGGTGTGGTTTAGTTTTCCATTCTCTTCCTAGGCTAGTCTGACTCAATGAAACAAGCCAAGGTCAATCTGAAAACTCCTTGCATTTCTAAAATCCTGCAGAAGTCACTGCAGTGGTATGTTGAGGAGGTTAACTAACTAGCACCCATTTCTTTTATCATCTGCATTAATCCATAACACAAAATTGCAGCAGGAAATCTCAGGACCAGTGGGAAATGTGTATAACCTTTCCATCTGCTATTGTTTCTTTCTGTTTTATTGAGAACTTTAGTTTTTAGGTTGGTTAAAAATAAACTACAGTTTTTTTAAAATAATCTTTTTCAGGAAGTCCTATATAGTTGGGAGTTGTTTTAACTTGGTTATTAGAAAAGGAGTTGGTAAAACTGAAAGTTAGAAAGTTATAAAATCAGAAGTCTTGCCTCAATTTTCAACTATATTTTTGAGTATCAGATGATAGAGATAAGGGAATTATTGTTGGAGCCTATGCTGGCAAGAATGAGACTAAAAGCACATTGTCCAAATCGTGATTATGATTGAAAGGTATTGAGTCTTCATGAGCTGCTGCTCACTGTATACATCTGATGAAGTGAGCTGTTGCTCACAAAGACTTTCAGTAAAATTTGTTAGAAAAGGTGCTTCTAGACTCCTCCTTTATATTTTATAAGAGAATTAGTAGCACCAGTTTCCTGGGTTTACATTGAATGCTCATGTAGGTCTTTGAAAAATTCAGTGTGAGAAACGTAGGTCAGGATCACTCCCAAAATAAGAAAGAACATCAGCTTAATTCTGGAGGATTTAAATGAGTCAAATAGCATAGGGATGTGAAAGGGGAATAGAACAGAAATGGAATGGCAATCTACCCTGTCCTATTCTTATTCCATTCAGGCCACCAGGTTTTTTTTTTTTTTTTTAAAGAATTATGTCTTTTTAATTTCTAAAGCATGACATACAAAGCATGGGTTTGAGAAAAAATATGCAATCTTTTTGTAAACATCTTTCATTTTGATTATCTGTATGTGTATAAGAAAGAAGTAGGGGTACCAAATCTGAACTACAGAAATGTAGAAAACCAGGAGATGGAAATAAAGAGAAATGGAAAAACTAATTTTTGCAGTTCAGATCAAGAAGGCCTTGAAAACCTGGAGTGCACCCAGTAAAGCCAATCAGAACCTAGGAAGAGGTCTTTAAGACCATTCCTAATAAGTGAATAACAGTGTACATGCAGTATTTCCTGGCTAAAAACCAGCTCCTAGCCTTTTCCACAATCTTTGATATGAATGGGGACAAGGCTAAGCAACAATAAATATTTATTTGCTGAATGTCTTTACTTTTTCATTTTTTATTGTTTTAATTATTTTAGAATTTTAGAATTATAAGCCACCCAGAGCCACTTGGTTGAGTTGGGGGGGTATAGAAATATAATGAATAAATAAATTAACAGTAACAACAGACTTTAGCCTTTGCAGAATATCGTAACTCTGCTTCTCTAAAACTCAACAAAACTTTACCAAGAGTACCTACTAAACAAGAATATTTTTTCACAAATATGCATAAGAATTATCTTTTCAGTTTTCGCCCTCCATAGGTTTACTGCAATCCAGGTCTTATCTCTATTCTCCAAGAAGAGACCTGGCAAAGCCCTTCTCTTGCAGGTTGTTCTGGTTTGGGGCTAGCGTACTGGTCAATCAGAGACACTCCTTAAAGCTACACAGAGGTGAAGTTGTTCACCCACATGCCTTATAACTCAAAAAACAACAGTTATCCATTTACCCAAAAGGTGATTTTGAAGCTCATGTCCATCTCTGTCTCTCTGTCTCTCTGTGTCTCTGTCTCTTTGTCTCTCTGTCTCTGTCTCTCTCCCCCCCCCCCACATGTTGCTATGTGAGATGGGAAGGAAACATGTACCTGTACCCAGTGCTTTTTTTTGTAAAAAAAAAAAAAAAGGTGCCAGAACTCACACATGTCATACAACCCGCCTTGCCTACCCTACAAGGTTCCATCCAAAAAAGGTGCCGGAACTCCATTTTGGGCGTTCTATGACAAAACAAAACCCTGCGGCTGTACCTATTAGTGAACTGAATATATACTCCGATAACATCTTGCCTCTAGCTTGCCTTTTTTCACCCTGGAATAATGTCCTATTTGAAGATATGGATGGCTTAAAAGATTAACAGAGATCAGATCTCTCCCATCAGAAATCCCAAAGGGCTGTTGCAGAGCTGTGTACAGTATCTGAAGGGAAAAGACGTTTAAAGCATGAAAAGGTGTCAAGGTAGCCCTTGTCAACAACTCCTTAAACTACATATGTGAAACACCATTTTGCCTTCAGATCCAAAATGCTGCAGAGCCCTAGAGTCAAACACAGTGAGAGCAGGTCTATTATCAATTGCACAAAGAGATTATTGTGCAACTCAGAGTGACTGATTTAAATGATTTAAGGAATTGTTCTGTAGGCTCAAGTGTTTTTAGTAGTATAATTGGAAAAAGGCTACAAGCAAAACCAGAATTAGTTGTGTTGTGTTTTCCTATTTTAATTAACATGAAGAGAGCTATCGCTGAACCTGTGCAATGGTGCACAATCTTGTGGGGGCAAAGAGACACATCCCAGAAAGTTGATACAAAAACTACAATTAATTAAATAGAATGGAGCCAATTATGTGCAGTTAATATGATCATCATTCCCCTCTCTTTACAGATTTCACCTTTGTGATTTTATATTCACTGGAAACATTTGGTGATACATATTAAAAGAGCCTGAAAGCCACATCCAAGGTGTTTGGAGACTATGGTTGTGCAGTGCTGGATTAATCAGCAAGCACATAGCTTGTAAGGACATTAATGCATCTTGATGACTGGGAAACATTTTCCTGAAAGATCTAGAAATCCTTCTCCCTTGTCATTGGAACATGGCATAGATCAAGCAGAGAAAGTTGGCAGAGTCTCTGAGGACAAAAGATAATAAAGCAAGAAGGGACTGTGAGCTGGTTGTAGATAAAATATCTTGCAGTGCTACAATATAAGACTGTCTTGGAACCTTGACGTAACAGTCTGGTTTTGCAGACAAAAGTCTATAGCTTCTCATAGGTTTCACTGATGTAATTATTACCACTCTAGGTGTTACTAAGGTGGTACAAGTCTGCAGTCCTCTTACCCATCATCTTAGGAAGCTGGTAACCAATCACCCCCTTTATGGAAGTTGTGAGTGACTCTCAGCAGGCACTAAGCTCTCTCCTCACTCCCTACACAGGCATACATGCGCGCCCACCTGCTTGCACACGCACCTGAGGCAGGTGTTCTCTTTACCAGGGCTAACCCATTGCCATGTGAGGAACCTGGAGTAATTTTGCAGGTCTGCGCCAGCCGCTCGTTGGGTGCGTTAGGACGTGTGTGGACTTCTTCGCAACCCCCGCACATATCTCCCGATCTTAAACCAGAGAAGCACAATCTGCAATGCAGCAGCAACGTTTAGAGGAGGCACTCCAATGTTGCTGGGAGGTTTGATGGGCTTTCTTTCTCGGCAGGCACGAAACTCTCACTCGTGCCTCATTACAGCTCACTCATCCAAGACCAGGTTTGTGTAAGGGTGCGAGGTTTTTTGTTTTTTTTTAGCGGCCTGCTTTCGCAAACATGATTTCGAGGGGGGGGGGCGGTGGTACGCGTTAGGAAGAGGGAAGTGGGACATCTCGGAGCCATGTGCCACCCAGGAGAACCAACCTGTAGGCAGGTACTGGGCCAGAAGTGGGCGGCTATCCATTTCGAACAGACGTGGTTAGCGGGGGGCTTTTGCGGACGGGCGTGTCCTTTGCAAGGCAGCAAAAGTGCGGGAGCGCGAAACGAAGCGCAACAAGCCGCCTGTTCGCAAATGCAAAGTCTCCTCGCGTCGGGAATGACAGCAGCGAGCAGCTGGAGCCCCTCCTCCTCCTCCTCTGCCGCGCTCCCGGCTGGGGTGGAATCGAGTTGCGCTCCGCCCCTGCAGCCAATCGCGCCCCGCGCAAAGCCACCACGGCCTCGCCTCGCCTGGGGCTGAGTCAGCGGCGGAGGAATGCGAGGCGCCCCCTGCTCCTCGGGGAGGGGGCGTTGCACCTCCGCTGCCGAGGCCATGACGTCATGGGCTATGCTAATGACTAGCATGTGAGGAGCGGGGGCTCCGAGGGGCGCGCGGCTCACTAGTGCAGGAGAAGCAGGCGGAGAGAGACGCGGGTCCGACGGCGCGCCCGGACGCCGCGCAGCTCTTGCTCTGTGCCGCCGGGGTCGCCTTAGCTGGTGCGCGGGCTCGCCATGGCCCTGCCCGGGCACCGCCAGACGCCGCCGCCGCCTCCTCCACCGCCACCTCCGTCGCCGGCTCCTCTGCCTCTTCTTCCTCAGTAAAGGGTCAGCCAAAGCCGGCAAGAGAAGGACGGCGAGCGAGAGGGCGCGCGACAGCCAGGTGGGCGCTCCGCATAGCGTGAGGGAGGCGGGCGAGGAAGCGGGATGGTCGTGCGGAACAACGGGCGAGCGCCCTTACTCTGCGGCGCCCTTCCTCTTGTCCGTCAGGAGCGAGCCCGGCGTTCTCCCGGGCGCGAGGGGATTCCCGGCATGAAGCCGGGGACGCCAGTCTGTCGCGGGGCTCTGAGGACGCAGAGCCAGGGGGCGCGGCTGGGAGGCGGAGAGGAGCTTGGCGGAGGTCTGTGGCGAGGAGTAGAGAGCCGCCTGAGGGCGCGGGCAGTGCCGGGTGAGGTGCCCGAGTCCCTCTACGTTTGGCTGGGACAGCTCATGCAGTCCCGGCCTCGAAGTTTATTTGGGACCGGCGCTTGCCTCCTGTACAGGCGGAGGCGGCGGAGGGGGGAAGGGCAAAGGTTGTTGCTTCTCCTTCCGATACCCTGAAAGTTTCCGGGCCGATCATTTGGGGATGGTGGGGCTACTCCTTCTAGAAGGCATCTAGTTCTTGAGGACTCACCTGCTTCAACAGTATCGAAGCCCATTACAGTAAAATGCTTTTCTGGGACAATTATTTTTTCTGCATCCATCTGCGCTTGGGAGATGCCGGCTCCCCCATTGCCCTTCCTGGCATAGACTCTCAAGCGGTAGTCTTCACCTTGGAACTCTCCAGAAGTGTAAGGATTCCAATGGCTGCTTCCGTAGCCATTGCCATCCTGGCTGCAGCGATGGGAGTTGTAGTCTGGAGCATCTGAGCTAGGTTGGGGGAAGCCTTTTCTGTAGATTTGCAGCCCCCCCCCCCAAGAAGCTGCCCTCGGTAGAGATTTCAGCCCGCAGAGAAAATGAGAGATGGACGCCACCTTGTGAAATAGATTTGAATATAAGTGTGTGAAGTGCATGCAGGACAGTCTGGGAGTGTGAACACTGATTGGAGAAAGGGGGACAGCTGGTGTTCATCCCATATATTTTTTTAAGCAGTATGAAAACGAGCATCTATAGTGAGTTTCCTTGGGTCACCACCCCCTTCCCCCCTCCCTCTCCCGTTTCTCTGAACCGTGTGTGCTGTGGTCTTGGGAAAGGAAGGGCGGGTGTCAGAGAGTTTATTTTTGTCTCCTGCCTGCTGCTTGCTTGGAGCCTACATCCAGCGGGGGCTGGTGGTGACTGGTTGGGAGATGCTTGAATTCTGTAGCTGAAGCAGCAGCCCTTCTCCTCAGGAGAAGGAGGGAGAAGGGAGGGGAGAGCACCAGAACCTGGGCTGGTTTGCATTAGCTATCTATAGCCGCAGTGTTAAGTTCTCTCCCCCCCACCCCCTTTTCTCCTTGTGCATGAATGATCAGTTGCAGCCCTGTCTCTCCCAGCCAGGTACATTCCTATCTTGGGGGGGGGGGAGGAGAGACTGCTTAGAATGTACAATAAGCAACAGGGAGCTCTGTCCTCCTCACTGCTGTGTAGCAGGGAGGTTCCTTTTAAATCTCTCTGATGTGAAGCCCGCACCTCTCCATCACTCCCTCTGCTGCCTGTGTGTGGGCTGCATTTTTAGTGTCTCAGTATCTCTGTGCTCACCTCTTCCTTTTTCACAGAACCTGTTATTTCTTGGGAGGGTGGTCTTTAACAAAAAAGAAGACACAACCCTTTGCTGCCCCACACACACAGCCCCAAGCCATAGTCTCCCTCTCTAACCCACCCTCTTGCTCTTGGTGATTGCTGATCCCAAATTTCCCTTCTGTCATATTAGGAAGTGAGATGCTTGTTTGTCATGCTGAATCATAGTGTTGCCTTTCAGAGTATCTCATCTCACAGCAAAATTCTTTTTCTTTCTTTCTCCATCCCCTCCTCCCCTCCAACAGTTGTGAAGGCTTCTATTTTCTCCACTTCCCTTAGCAAGGAATGCTGTGACTGTGGATGGTCCAGAAAGCTGCCGGAGGAAGGAGAGCCAGTGCCAGCCCTGGGCTAAAATAACCAGACTGGAAAAGAGCAAAGAGGGAGGGGGAAGCAAAACACCCAGAAGAAAACAGCTACACAATCCATATCCTCTCACAACATCTTCATACATTGCTGTGCCTTGTCGAGAAATAACAGCTGTCTAAGTCCACACACAGAAACCACACAGTGTGTCTGTTTTCCCTTGCCACCATGTGACATCGTCTTTGGCAGAATTAAGAAGCAGCCACTGGCATTTTGGACACGCGAGGAAGAAGAAGAGCAAGCAAACCTCCAAATCTGTCTTCGAATATCTGTCCTATTTCTGCAGTGACAACGTTGTAAAATAGAGGTTTAAAAGGGGAGGTGGGTGGGAAGTAAAAAAGGAACTTCTAAGGGATTCTCCTACTTTTTCTTCCTTGCAAAAAAACATATCAGGGAGTGCCCCCCACAGTTTTTTTTTTCTCCTGTTCTCGTTATTGCATGCAGACATTCACTCATACCAACCATGATGTTTCGAGACCAGGTTGGAGTATTGGCAGGTTGGTTCAAAGGCTGGAATGAGTGCGAACAGACAGTTGCTTTGCTTTCCTTATTGAAGCGAGTGACTCGGAGCCAGGCCCGTTTCCTTCAGCTCTGCCTTGAGCATTCCCTGGCCGACTGCACAGAACTGCACGTTCTGGAAAATGAAGCCAACAGCCCTGGTAAGTTCGCCCCCCCCCCGCCTTGTCTCCTCTTTCCTCCTTTCCTCCCCTCCCTTTTGGTGCATCCAGACCATTTTGAATGCCACATTGTTCTCTGATGTATATGAGGATGCATAGTCATATTCGAAAGGTGGTGGGTTGGATGGTTTTGGTTTTTTTTTTTATTTTGGATGCTGTATAGAAATTGCTCTTCCAAAACAACCCTCTTAATGGCAACAACTGGGAGTAATTTCCTGATGATACTTTTTCCTCTGCAAGCTCATTCAGTGTAAGCTTTGCTGTAACTCTGGGTAGCATGAATGATTGTAAATGTCTTTTTCTTCCCTCCCATAAAACCTGCTGTCAAATAACTAAGTCAGGTCACGTAGAGTCTGGATTTCCTAGGCTTTTTTTGGGGGGGGGGGAATAGGTTTTCCTCTGTCTTTCAGCAGTGTGCAGAAGAAGCATAATGTTACCTTGCGAAGCATGTTGAATAATTTTTGCCTTTTGCATGTGTACTTGTGTGTACGTATTTATATGACATACATGAGTTTTAGCAATTTGGGGAAGCCCATTCTTTCATAAGAATTTGGGACTGATGTGTTTTTCAGCAAAAACTTCTGGTAGTTCTTTGTGGCGTTGCCAATAAGTTGAAATACTCATTATTTTACTATAGAAAATATGTGCATGTTTACATTGATAGTTTAGAATTTGTTTATATTGTATTTCCCCTATGAATAAGGATTACATTATTGGAATATCCATGTAGCAAACCCATGATATACAGCAAAAAAGAATTAAGTGTTCATTGTGCATGTATTAGAGAAGAGATGGAGGAAATTGATTTTTTTAGAAACAATTGTTTTTCACACTACCTGTGATTAAAGAGTCTGGAAGTTCAGCAGCACTAGAGGACTACAAATTGTTTGTCCTCTGTCTAAGAGCAAAAAAAAAAAGTCATTTTTCTCAACAGTGAAAAAAAGTTTTGACATCCATATATAAAGTTTCTTTTTAAGTTCTCTGGAGCCTCCTTGTAAAATCCTTGTGCAGATACTGACAAAAATTTACAAGGCATGACATTTATATAATGTCTTGTATTTTAGATTATATAATGTATTTTAGATTTTTCTTCACATATATTATCCCAATAATTTTTATCAGCTCTGTTATGTATTTCCATGTTATTATCCTTATTGCCAACAGTGAAGATTTAGCTTAAGAGATAATGGTAATTATTGGCTAGTTCACATATGCATACACATTTATTTGGTACTGGCATAACATGCTATGCTGATCGAGCTATTGTGATTTGAAAATGATAGTTTATAGAGAATTATGTGGTACATTTTTAACTAGTTTTATCACATTCATTAAACCATGGCTGAGTAAAGCACAACTGCTTAGAACTTGCAATTTATGGCCAAGAGAAGGTCTGAACTGGAGGCTTTGCACACATCCATTTAAACCTTTTATATATGCATTTTGTGATAGGCTAAACCAGAATTTGTCAACCCACGGCAACTTTAAGATATGTGTGGACATGCTGCCTAGGGAATTCTGGGATTGAAGTCTCTACTTGTTTTTTCTTTAACAAGTCTAAAGAAAAGAAAAAACAGGGGCGACATGATAGCAGTATTTCAGTATTTGAGGGGCTACCACAAAGGAGTGCATCAAACTATTCTCCAAAGCACCAGAGGTTGGAAACTGACCAAAGAGAGAAGCAACCTGGGATTAAAGAGAAACTTCCTAACAGTGAGGACAATTAACCAGTGGAACAGCTTGCATTCAGAAATCATGGGCACTCCATCATGAAAGGGTTTTAAGAAGAGACACTAGACCAGTGGTTCTCAACCTTCCTAATGCCGCGACCCCCAACCATATGGTCATAAGTCGAGGACTACCTGTATTTCCCTGCGGGCGGGGCAGGAGGAGGCGTGCACGCTCCGCCTCCTCCTGTGGCTGCAGCGTACGCTGGGCAGGCCGAGGGTGCACGCACGCCGTTGCCCAGCAACCACCTCGACCACTGGAGCACCGCGCATGCGTGGTGCTGCCCCCTGCGCTGGCCGAGGCGTAGCTGGCAAGCGGCAGTGATGGTGCAGGCCGACCACTGGCTGGGCCACCAGCTGGCCCAGCCCAAGGGAGGTAAGGTACCCGCTGAGCCCCATGTGCGCCAGCAACCCTCCCTGTGCCCGCTGCTGCCCCGCTAGCCTTACCTTGGCCACCGCACGTTCGGTGCGGCGGCAGGCAGGCCCAGGTGCTCCTGGGCGGCCATGGCACGCGGCAGCGAGGGCGCAAGGCGACCACCGGCTGGGCCACCAGCTGGCCCAGCCCAAGGGAGGTAAGGCACATGCGCCAGCAACCCTCCTTTCGCCCGCCGGCCTCCCACCTCCCACCCCTGGCCCTCTTTTACTTACATTTAGTAGTTGCTAAGCAGGGAGGGGTGGAAACGTCCAGAAAGCTCACCTTAGCAGCAGACTACTTGCAGCACCGTTTGCAGACTGGGACGTTTGGCGGGCTCAGCAGGGCAGAGACAGCCTGGACAATTCCTATTGGTTTTTGAAAGCCAATAGAATTAGACTCTATTCAAGAGAGTCTATTATATTGGCTTTCAAAAGCCAATAGATTCTATTGGCTTTCTAACGCCAATAGAATAAAGTCTCTTGAATAGACTCTATTCTATTGGCTTTCAAAAGCCAATAGAATAAGAGGGAGTAGCACAGCTAAGGAAAAGGGGGAAAAATGGCGGACTGTGTTGTTTGGCGACCCACGTGAAATGGTCGTTCAACCCCAAATGGGGTCGTGACCCACAGGTTGAGAACCGCTGCACTAGACAGTCCCTTGTCTGAAATGGTATAGTTCTCCTGCTCGAGCAGGGGGCTGGACTAGAAGACCTCAGTAATACAAACTAAAGGATAGTGGTTTTGCAATAATTATTGATAGGGGTGAGATATGGGAGGAAGAGACTTCTTTAAAAAATTAAAATATGAGAGAAGGTGTTGATTTATCCAAATTCTTTATACTTGTCTAGAGTCCACACATCTTAAAGTTGCCAAAATTGAAAACCACTGGGCTAAACAGTGAAGCAGTTCAAGAATGATAAAATATCTGCAAATGCTGCCAATGAAAATCTTATACTGATCTAAATATATACACAATATGCACTTAGCTTGCCATATAATACTGCTATATTATATATTGTAATGTATTACTATAAAATACTAATATATTCAGAGTACTAAAGTCTGTAGTCTTGAACACTAGCTTTTCCCAATCTGGCACCTTTCAAATGTTTTGGGTTTGCAACTAAGGAATTTTGGACATTTTGTTCTAAAAGAGTGCCAGATTGGAAGGGCTGCTATATTTTTTAGATCAAGTAAATGTTTGAGGTTAGGCTGATAGCAACCTGAAAAAGGGGAGGTATGTTTTCTGAGATAATACTCAATGTGTGGAATCATTGTTACACGATAAAACCTAGGTTTCAAACATTTCTAGAGTGATACTTTAAGATGCTTTATACTTTGCCTAGTTTGTGTAAACTGTGTTGGAAGCAATGTTGAGAGGCAACACATTTTTTCTTATATAAATAAACTTGGGCTAACTTTTGAGTAGACCTGCATAAGATTGCATTGTGAGTAGCAAACTGAGAGGCTGCTCATTCAAGCTTCCTGTCTGCCTTGGATTTATTAGACAAACCACACTCTTACTGTAGCCTTAGACTTCCTATCTGAAATAAAGAACAGTGATTTCCTTTCTTAAAAGAATGGGGATCATGTGTGCCAATGCTTTGAGCATTCTAGGACATTACCAGGGAATGGATTCTCACTTGGCTAAAACCCTGGCTCCTTTCAATCTCCTCCTCTCAGTTGAAAGCCTTAGACTCAACTTCAGTCTCCGCCTTTAGAGGGGAAGCTCTCAGAGAAGAGCAGCTTCAAGGAGCCAGGGCAGTGGTGGGATTCAGCCAGTTCACACCAGTTCAGCAGAACCGGTAGTTAATTTTTTGTTGCCCAGGCCCAGAATGGACTTCCGGAAGCAGCATCCACACTAAGATTGTGGATGTTCACATTTGAATCCCACCACTGAGCCAGGGATAAAGCCTTCCCTAAAAGATTCTTAACATTGTCACTTAGGGAATTTTCAGGGAAAAGATGCAGGACACCTGGAGCAGGAGTATTTTGCAGGTGTCCATAATACTGCAAATGTTTCTTTGATTGGTGAGGGAGAGAATGTCTTTGGGTTCAAGCCACAGGGCCAAGTTTACCCATCTCAGTTCGGTATAAAAGTTCTAATACAGTTAGTCAGGAAAAATACATTGCTGATTTCAGAAGTATGTTAGTTTTTTTTTATTTTTTTAACAACCAAAACAACTGAGCATGCTCAGTGTAGCTTCTTATAAATACTTCAAGTGTGCAAAGTGCAGCTGAATCATGGAGAAAGCTTATGGTGGTGATGGTGATGATTTCAAGTAGAGGTTTTGACAACAGAGATTCAAGCTTTTTCAGTGGATTCTCACATTGGTCTTTTTTGGGAATGAACTTTTTGATTTAGTTTCTTTATCCTCCGTAAGACTGAGTCAGGATTGACAATAAGAACTGAAAAAATTGTGAAAATGAGTAATAAAATGCTCTTTTGGAGAGAGATGAACCTAGGAACTGTTGATATATGTCAGGGGTGTCAAACTCACAACGTCATGTGACGTGTCGCGACGTATCGTGACCTTTTTTGCCATTTCTGGCAATGGGGTGGGCACAGTTTCGCTATGATGCATCCGGCCTGTGGGCCGGCAGTTTGACACCCCTGATATATGTCATTTCCTGATATCCTTCTGGTATTAGTAGAGTATATCTGTTTGAGGTAAAGTTCATCTATGTAGACTCAATTGGCTTTTTGTTCATTGGCACACTCTGGTGTCCTTCTAAATATTGTGGATAGACTGTTTTTAAATCTATGCATTCCAATTATCTTAAAAACAGTTATACTATAAATTAGGTATGGTTTTACAGTAGGGTAAAAGTTCTATTAAA